GAGCGCCGGCCCCGCCCCGCGCCGGCCTCGCCTTCCGGCGGAGGCGGGGACAAGGGGCGTCTCCGCGGGCCCTTCTAGGAAGGCCACGCGCAGTCTCCATGGTGCCGGGTCGTCCGAGCCGGGTCACGTGGCTGGTGAAAGCCGTCGCGGAGGCGGGGGGAGGAGAAATGGGCGGGAGGCTGAGGGGATAGCTGGAGAGCCGGCGACCACGGGGTTGTCATGGAGCCGCGGGGCCGGGCTCGCGCATGCGCCACCTGAGCCGGGCCGGTCGTGGAGCAGGGACCCCGGCCCTAGGTGAGAAAGGCAGGGCTGGACTCCGGGGGAACAGGAATGGCGTAACGAAGAGGGTTTGGGCGAGGAGCATAGAGGGAGGAGGTGGGAGGAGGGGAGAGGGGAAGAAGGGAGACGGAGGCAAGAGGGAATAGTCGGGGCTTTCGGGGGACGGAGGGCCAAATGGGGGGGAACCCACAGGGGCGTCCTTCTCCTGTTTAATTTATTTTGCTGTGTGAGGCGGACTTGCTGGGATACGGAATCGCATTTGGGGAGGGGGCATGTGCGAGGAGCAGGTGGGTTGAGTCCGTTAGGGGAGGTGGGCCTCTGGCCCAGTCTGGGGGGCAATAACCCACTGGACTACCTGGTGGGGATAGCATCTGGAGGCCTGCCTGGCTGTGAGCAGAGGGTCAGGGAATGGGCAGGTGAGTGGGTGCGAGAATCACCGGGTCACCGGGTGAGGGTTCTGGACCTCCGATTTGGGGCTGTGGGTAGTGAACCATTCTGGACCCAGGGCACAGGTGTGCTGTCTATACCAGCAATTTGTCACCATTTCCTCTTGGTGGCCAGCTTGCCAGGCGTGGTGCCAGGGGTAGGGGTATGGCGGAGAAGGTAGGCAGTGCCAAGTAAAGAGTTCGTGGTTAGTGAGTAGGTCGAGGTGGGGCTCCGTTCTAGACCCAGGGCACAGGCCAGAGCCAGGCTCTCTGTTATTGCCCAAGTCTTGGCAGTAGGCATTGCTGGGCGTTTGCCCTGGGAGGCTGGTGGTATGCCAGTCACAGCACAGTTCTAGGGTCTGCCCAGTTTTGCCCTGCTGAGCTGGCAGGCTGGTAGACGCCTGGAGGGTGCACATGCTGTCTGGCACAGATGTAGCGTGGGCTGGTGCGAATGGGTAGGTGGGCACAGTTACTGTGAACCCTTTTTGGAATGGGGGGATTTAAGAAAGGTCTCTAAGCCAGACCTGGTTTAAACATAGGAAATGATGTGGAGTGAGGATTCAGGATCATTGACTTCAGCCAGGTTGGAGACTGGGAATGAATGTGAAGGAGAAAGTTAATATTAGAGATTTAGGTAGATGGGGTTTTTTTCCACTGTTAAAATGCACATTCTCCCAGAATGCTATGTCTGAATATGCAGATCAAAAGAAAATGACGTGAGAAAATCTAGTAACTTATTTATAATTCTTACTGGGATTACTCATGGTTTTCTGGGTGGTAAAGTCTTTGTTTTCTATGGCCTTTTCCTTTTGTTGTATTTAAACTCCAGATTTTCACCTCACACCTCTCCCTCTGTGCACGCATGTTGTACACGTGACACATTTTAAAGGGAAGTTGAGCGCCCAGGAATGTTGCCTAGTATCTATAAAAGGAGAGATCTGAAAGAAGCATTTCAAATTCTTTCCTTGTAACCTTTGGGTCTCCTTTTTATCATAAACTCAACTCTCCACAGAGGTTCTTTGTGGATTAAATTAACCTTTAATTCAATTGGTAGATTTGTCCCTTAGGTTGTATTTCAGAATAAGGGATGGATCAGATACCTGTGTCCTGAGGTGGACCAGACCTAGGAGTTAGACCTTAAGGTGACCAGAGTGTTTGGACATGGAGAATCTTGACCTTCAAGCTGTTCAGGTATTTCTGCAACAGCTAAGCTCCTTGGGCTGTCAGAGATCCTCAGCAGGACAGAGATTTGTTGGAATGTATTATTCTGTTGAATACCTCTTATGTTAATTGCTGAGAGCTGAGATTGCAAAGATGAAAAAGCAACCCTTCCGATCGAGGAGACTAACTAATAATTAGATTTTAATGTAAAATGTACAAAAACAGAGATATGGAGCCCATGCTAAAAACTTTATTAACCTATATACAAGGAATCTTTCAAAGTTCTTGGAAATCTGTATTAATGAACAACAATGCATAGATTTCAAAATTTTCTTTCAAAATAAACTTGTACTTTAATTTCATTTGTCCACAAACTTTGAGGTACCCATGTGTTTATTGCTTTGCCTTCTATTTTAGTTTTTACTGGATACTATTCTCACAGGGAACCTTTTGGACAATGCATTACATGTATGTGCATGAGAGGCCCAGCTAGGGTTGATTCTGACACTGAAGGATCAAAAATAAGTCCTTCTAATGCATAGTAAAGTACATGAGGTCTGAGATGTTTGCAAAGCAGTGTTAGTGGCTTCCAGGCTGTTCTAGGAAGCAGAGGGGTGACACAGTGGGCAAGAGCTTAGACCTATTTTCAACCCCTAGTCAGCTTCTGAACATGTAACTCGATTGTAAAATAATACTGGGCAAGAAGAAGAAAATCAAGCAACGTCTTTTTTTTTTTTTTTTTTTTTTTTTTTTTCCCTCTATCCCTTTTTTAGGTTTTGACCATAGGGTGAGTGCACTAGCCAGAGAGAGACAGTGAAAGGGAAAGTGAGAAATCACCCCCTAGGGAGAATGGCCACGGTGCAGTCCTTTTTCCATTCTCCTCCTGGGATTTTGGGCATGCATGCACGTACCTGGTGTGATTTCCAAGCTGCCAGGTCTGGGACTCCAACCATGGTCAGCCTTGTGGGATTCCAGCACCTTAACCATCACCACTTGCTGGGCCCCTTCTTGAAGTTTTCAGGCCATGCCATTTGCTTGGCCCCCAGTAGTAAATGCCATCACTCTGCTTCTCTACTGTCCAGGCTTCACATAGTGTTGTGTTGGAGTTGGTCTGTTCATGGCTCATGCCCTCAGCCCACTCATAGGAGGGAAGTGATACTCCTCAAAGAGCAGTTGAGGAAGGATGTAGCCCTTCATTCTGCTTCCCACAAGAGCCTCCCTGGCTGGGATGCCAAGACTTGCTGCTGCTTGAGAACTTTACTGAGGATAGAGACTTTGATTATTATCATTCTTTAAATTTAATTTTATTTATTTATTTTATTTTAATTTGACCAGAGAGGGATAGAGCAAGAGGGAAAGTGAGAAAGCAAGCCACCAGGTCCAGGACTTGAACCAGGGTCGGCCATGTGGGAGTCCAGTGCCTTTAACCACCATGCCACCTGCTAGCCTCTAGACTTTGATTATTTTAAACATTTTACATCCAAAATAGTCAATTTGCTGTTTTAAAGCCAATTATGCATTCTTTATTTCCAGCTACCACTAGCTCCCCAGGATCTAAAGTTTTAGAGTGTGTTCTCTTTTTAACTGATATATCAATGCTTCAGTATTTTGATTTCATAGTCACTATTGTCCTACAAATACTTAGCCAGAGGGAACCAGCAGTTAGCGTAATGGCTATGTTGCTGGACTCCCACGTAGTCGACCGTGGTTCGCGTCCCGGACCTGGTGGCTTAAAACTCAACGCTGGGCGCGTTGTCTGTGCGTGCCCAAGATCCTGAGAGGAGAATGGAGGAGAAGGGATTGCGGCGTGACCATCCCCCCTGGGGGGTGATTTCTCGCTTTCTGTCTCTATGTCTCTCTCTGTCTGTCTGGCGAGCGCACGTGCCCTATAGTGAAAATCTCTCCAAAAAAAAAAAAAAAAAACTTAGCCAGAATAAATTCCTATGTTTTCTGTAATTCCATTGACTATACTTTCATAACAGCAGACCTTTTATATTGTCTTTTCAGGAGAATTGTAGAAGACTGGATTGGGATTTTATCTAAAATAGTTATAAGATCATCCATATTTAGTAAAATAATGTGAAACTTTGTCAGGTTCTAATTGGTTGTAACTAATATGAGCTACTTTTCCTATCGAAATCAACAGCCTGGACTGACTTGAATTAATCTGAATGCCCATCCCCAAGCTACATCTATTTCCATTTTGAAGAAGGCTCCTATTCACTTTCGGACAGTATTATTTTAGGAAAATTACACTATGTGCATTTGTTGGGTTTCATACAAAAGGATCCTGATTTAATTAGAGATAGAGCTTTATATTTTAGTCTACTTTTTAAACTAGGTTGTCCATGCTGTCAGACTTCATAGCTGTCAAAGAGACATTGCTTTTGCACAGTGCTCTTGCAAGATGTGACAGTACCATTGTGTATCTTTCTGTGCATAGGATTAAATGTGTGACTTGTGGAAGAATGCTTGATATGACATGAATATAATGAGGACGCCATCCCTTTAAATGATTGAGATATGGGGTAAAATAATTTTTCCTTGGAATTGTGTTTAAAATTCATCCCGATTCAGACCAGTGTGTTCTCTTTAGTCCACTTCTTTTTTTTTTTTTTTTTTTTTTTTTTTGAGATATTTTCACTGTAGGGCGCGTGCGCTCGCCAGACAGACAGAGAGAGACATAGAGACAGAAAGCGAGAAATCACCCCCCAGGGGGGATGGTCACGCCGCAATCCCTTCTCCTCCATTCTCCTCTCGGGATCTTGGGCATGCACGCACACGCGCCCGGCGTGAGTTTTAAGCCACCGGGTCCGGGACACGAACCGCGGTCGACTACGTGGGAATCCAGCGACATAGCCATTACGCTAACTGCTGATTCCCTCTTTAGTCCACTTCTACATGCAAAAGTGCGAGCAAGAGGGTTGCTTAAGGGTGCTTGTCAGCAGCCTCTCTGCTTCCTTCCTCTGCTTGTTGAATAGTCACTGCTCTTCACTAGACCCTGTATTTGCAGAAGTGGTGTCGCTGTGGGGGAGTCCGCAGGAATTGCTGTTTTTTTTTTTTTTTTTTTTTGAGAGGTTTTTGCTATAGGGCATGTGCACTTGCCAGAAAGACAGAGACAGAGAGACAGAACCGCAATCCCTTCTCCTCCATTCTCCTCTCGGGATCTTGGGCACACATGCACACGAGCCCAGCGTGAGTTTAAGCCACCAGGTCTGGGACTCGAACTACTGTCGACTACATGTGAGTCCAGCGACATAGCCATTACGCTAACTGCTGGTCCCCAGATGCAGTGCTGTTTTTCAGGGAGCTGTTTCTCTCCACTCAGAAGGACAACAGCATGACGTCCTTAGTGGATCAGAATTAAAACATCCCTGGGCTTTGCCTGTGCCTACCTTGTTTCATTGTTACTGTTTTCCCTGTTGGCTCCCTGTTGCCTTTATCTCTGCAATATCCTTCATGTTGTTATCTTACCAGCCTTTCGGCCACCATCCTGGGCAACTCAAGTATTTGTTAAAATGTCTGGAATGTTCTCAGCCTCTGCCAGAGCTTCAGAGAGCTGATTTGTCTCATTCTTGCCCTGCTAATCTGGGTCAGGATCTGCTGTGGAATAGCCGTGTGTCACTCACTGGGCAGACTAGACCTCACGAGTCCTGAGCCCAGTCTTACACATGGCCGTCTACCTAGCATATCCACAGGGAGGCCCCCGGTCACGTCAGCCTCTGCCTGACCAAAACTCTCCGAGCCTCCCCGCTGCCCTGCCCCACCCGCGGCCACGCGAGCACAAGTCCTGTCAGGTCCTGTGCCACACCTCCACTTTTCACTTCTCCCCATCTCCTCTGCCATCCCGTAACTCACCTGGACAGCTGTAGAAGCATCGAGTGACCTCAGTGCCACCCCTGCCTCTCTCCACTTTAGTATTAGTTCAGCATCCAAAATGCTTTTAAAATGCAAATCTGGTCGTGTCAGTTTCTTGGTTAGAAATTTTTCTGTGGCTTCCAAAGCATTGTACTTAAGTTAATATCCAAAGTTTTTTCCAGCGTGGATTTCAAAGTACCCACTGTCCCTTTAGCATCGGTGCGTGGCATTCTGCCCCTGTGTACTGTGCCCTGACCTCTCGGGCCTGTCACCTCTCAATGTGGCAAGCACCTTGCTCCCTTAGGCCCCTAGTGCTGCCTGGAACACCTGCCCCCCCCCCCCACCTTTCACCTAGCCAGTCCCCACCCCACGACTGCCC